TCTGTCCCGCAGCCCAAGGGCACCAGCAGCTGTGGCTGCTCCACATGACTGGGGCAACTTTGCCATGAGCTCACCCTCCTGCTTTCTGGCAGCCCTGGCTCACCTCCCCAGCCCCGAACCCTCTTAAAGAGACCCATGGCCCCCCACACGGGCTGTCTGGGACCCCCATGCTGGGCACAAGGAATTGGGGTGCACAGAGCCCATGGCAGCCCGTCCAGAAGGTTCAGTGGCATGGGACCCTGCTTCAGGGTCGCCCTGTGGATCCGGTGCCTATGCCACATACCCTGGACACTCAGGATTCTCCCTGGTGTTTCCATCACCCCATCCCCATGCTGCAGCACTCACAGTTCCCTGGAACCCGGGGGAAGAAGGGTTGCTGCCCACCCCAAAAGTAGGTGATGGGTCCCGCCAAAGCCCTCGGCAAGCAGCAGGCAGCACATGACACCGGGAGACAGAGCCCCTCAGTGCCACTTTGGAGGATGACTTCAGGTGTGGAGCGTCCGGAGCAGCCCTGCCAGTGTCCTGGTGGCTGCTCGTCCTCCCCTGCCACGCACGGGCAGGCTGGCAATGAGGCCAGCCTCACGTGGGGCTGGCGGGCAGAGCCAGCAGCTATTCCTGGCAGCGACATTGTTCAGTCCCTCTGGGCTTTGCTCTCCCCCTTTGTAAGATGAGGCCAGAGCTGCCCTGTGCCGGGACAGTTAATGCGCTGGGCACCAGCCCCTGGCACAGGACCTGGGGGAAGAACAGATGGGGACACGTCACCATCACCCTCCCGGGCAGTTCCCAGCGACACCCTTGGGTGTCCTGTCCCATGGGTGCTGCAGTCTCCATCCGCAGAAAAGCACCATTTTCACTGGGACAGGTGATGGCAGCCTTGAAGGTGGTCCTGGGACCACCCCACTCCACGGGCAGCCCCACCAGACCCCAGGGCAGGTACAGGCTAAAACCTCTGGAGGGGAGCACCAGGAAAGTGAGGCAGTGACCCCATGCCGGGGTGGCAATGGGATGATGCTGGCAGTGCAGCGGAAGGGCCCAGGTAGGCTGGTGGGACAGGGCTGGGGTGGCACCAGGCCACCACATGCCCATCCTGACACGGGAGCAGACACAGGATAGGGACAAGGATCTCCTATGGCTGTGGGTGACAGCTAGCCCTCCCCGCCTGCCCAGGGGCCAGAAGGAGGATGAAAAGGCTTTATTGATAAATACAGACTATATACAAATGGGAGACATCTCCACCCAGCCCAGCAACCCAGGGCCTCCTGGCCAGGGGGAGCCAGAGCCCAGCGGGTCACAGCCTCTCCCCACTGGCACAGCCCAGCCGTGCTGACCCCCCCCCGCCCCAGGATTATTTGGTCTCAAACCTCCTGCAGCAAACACAGCACATGCCCATGTCCCCAGCCAAGAAGGACCACTGTGGCAGCACAGCCCCATGCAGCCCTTCCTGGGGGGTAACCTGGGCAGGGGGCAGCCTGGGGGTGGAGCAGGGGCTGCCCCTGCTCCAACAGGGGTGGGACTCGACACAGAGCATCCCTGGGGGTGCCACTGTCCCCTTGCACTCTCCCCACAACCAGCGGGTGGGTGCTCAGTTCCTGGGTGGGAGTGGCTGATTGACAATCACTTGCACAACAAAATCCTTCTGGATCTTGGTCTCCTGCAGGCGTGTGCGGTCGGTGAGCAGCTTGCCCGAGAAGAACCAGCGCTGCCAGGCCAGGTCGATGCCCTCCTGCGCCTGCAGCTGCTTCTTCAGCTGCCCGATGGTGTCCCCCATGCTGGCGCTGAGCCGCAGGTCCTTGCCGGTGGAAAGCCGCACCTTGAGGGCAAACTCCCGCCGGGCATTGGGCAGGGGCTCGGCGGGTTCCGCTGACTCCTCCTCGCTCCGCTCCAGGATCAGGTTGACGGGAGGTGCCAGACAGTAGACAGGCAGCTGGTACCGGTTGCCCAGCTCATCATAGCACTCCGTCAGGGACCCTGGGGATGGCAGGGTGAGATGCTGTGGGTTGGCATCCCCATGCACCCCCTAAATAGGGATGGGGCCACCCCAAGCAGTGAGGCACCCCTCCCCAACCCAGAACCCTGATGTGCCCAGATATGGGGCACTCATCACCCACCCCACCCACACCCCTGGTGCTGTCCCTCACCGTGGGGCAGGGTGATGCTGGCTCCATCAAGGATGGCTTGGGCCAGGCTGTGGTCATTTGCCTCCACGGCATAGGCAGCTGCCTTCAGGGCATCCCAGATCTCCTTGCGACCCTCGAAGGCTGGCGCCGTGTCCCAAAACTCATCCCGCTTGCTGCGCAGCTGCCCGTCCGTCATGGGGTAGTCACTCTTCCACTTGGGACGCTCCTTCTTCAGAGGCTCATTGCGGCCTGGGGAGGGGGAGGGATGCTCAGCTGAGGGATGGGGCAACCCCTTGGGTCCCAAGACCCCCATCTCCCCGCCCCCACGGGCTCCTGGGGGCACCATGCATGGCAGTGTCCAAGGGACTGCCCTGCCCAGCACAGGACAGTCGCCAACACAGCCAGGGGGAACTCAGCTAAAGCTAGCCCTGCCCAAGGTCCCACTGGCCCTATATCAGCTGGTAAGGGGACCAGCCCCTTCCCTGTGGGGTGGCTGTGAGGCCTCAGGGCACTGTGAGGCAGAGCAGTATTTATAGCTTGGGGAATTAGCCAGGAAATAAGCTGGTGAGTCGGAGCGGGAAGGGGATTACGGTGGCTGAGCCGCAGCCCTGGCAGGCGAGGGCAGGACTTTTCTGTCCTCTCTGCCCACTCCCAGGGTGGCAAGGACCAGCCCCGGATAAGAGAGCAGGCACATCATGTCCAGGACATCAGGGTGGCAGAGGGCATCTCCAGGGTGGGGGGCTGCCACCCCCCAGCAGCCCCAGCCAGGGGCTGAACTGAGCAGGGTCTCTTCATGAAGCAGCCCCAACCCATGTGCCCAGGGCCCCCAGCAGCTGACACTGCCCAGGGTACAGTCTGGGCCACCTCCTGCGCCAGCCCCATGCTGCCCTGTCCTCCCTACCCCAGGCTGCAGCCCCGTGGGAACAGCCCCATCCCATCAGCCCCACGGCTGGGCCGGAAGCATGGGGCAGGAAGGAGCTGTTGTCACTCCCAGCTGAGCAGGGGACAATGAGTGACAACAGCTCCTTCCTGCCTCCCCTCTTCCTGGGGCGGCCAGCCGGCACCCTTCCTGCAGGGGTGGGATACAGGGAATGCAGAGCCCCAGCTGGGAAGGAAGGATGCCTGTGCCCTCCCAGCTGCAGACCCTACCCCACTGCCCCGAGTGCTGGGAACAGCCACCACTGCCAGC